GAGAGAGAGAGAGAGAGAGAGAGAGAGAGAGGAGAGGGGAGAGAGAGAGAGGAGAGGGGAGAGAGAGAGAGAGTAAAGTTTTACATATATTGTTATTTTGATTTATTTTTATAGCATTTGAGATACAATTCTACATATTTTAGATACTTTTCTATAAAAAATATGAAAGGAATAGATTTGAAAAAAGGTTTTTTTGTATAATTTTTTATGAAACATTAAAGCATAAGATTAAATGCAAATAAGTAGTTGAATACCTCTATAAATAGTATATTACTCGAGAATATTCTTAACGGAAAGATTTTATTGAATGATAACTTACTTGGAATGCATTGTCCGGAATCACATTTTTTATATCCATTCATACAATTATAGTTCTCTGGAAAGAAGGCAACAAAAAAATCAATAAAATATTTTTTGTATTCAACGCAACGATTAATATATAGAAAAAAAAGTTAGAGAGCAAAAACTATAAGCCATTACCGCAATAAGTTTCATCACTTTTATCAAAACAGTCGACAATACCATCACATCTTTGTTTTGAGTCAATGCACTGACTATTAAGACATAAATATCCGCTGCATTTATCAAAGGCTGTGTCGAAGAAAAAAGTATTGAGAATTAAATTAAATCAAAACAAAAAAAGCAAAAATAAAAGTTTTAATACATTAATCTATAAAAAAATAAATCAATAGGATTTTTATATGAAAATAAATGATGTGTTTTTTACTGCAGTTTTGTTCGTCGGCGCCATTCAGACACTCCGGGATGTGATTACAGCGAACAGACATTGGAAGACATCTCTTCTCCGATGGACACCAGAAGCTCTCATTCGTATAGCATTTGTCTTGAGTATAGCCTTTGTGTTAAAAAATATATTGTTTGTAAGAATATGTTTTACTTTTACTTTATTTAATAGAAGATATTTTTCTCTATTATACTTATATTACAATAATGTTTTCGTATCGAAACCTTGTGTCCAATTTCCACAAACATTTGTTATAACAAAAAACTCCATTTCTATAATATTTATTTCTATATTTATATTAGAAATTTGTACAGTAATTGTGGTCATCAGTTACCAGACACTTAAAATAACTTCAAATATAAGGTCTTAATGTCATTTTGGTTGCAAAAATGTAATAATAAAATATGGTTTTTAAACTTAAAGAAATCAATTATTGATATTTTCTCACAAAAACTTTAAATGGAAAAACTTTCAATAAGTCTACAGACTATTGACATTAAATAATGGACATTATATAGTGAAAGCAGTTCTTATGTATTTCTTTAATAATGCCTGACATTCAAGATTGGAGTTCAAAACACACAGAATTTGTTGCAATAAAACCATTGAATTGATTGTAAAGTTTATTAGCGGATATGTAATAGATTTTT